GATGCATACGGGCGTTGATAGTTTCTACCACGCGCAATGCGCATAAAGCCGCTTGCGCTCCGCCAGAGGCTCGTGGCCAACAGTGGAAGTGTTTTTGCCACAGCCACAACGGCAGCGATGATAGTAATCGGGATTGTAATCAGCACAGAATCCCGAGATAGCAGTCCTTGCGACCCAGTTGGGGACTCTCCAAGCCGAATCTGGCCAAATTTGCCATCCCATATCGTATAGATATAGTAACCAGCGCCTCCCGCCACCATAATCGGTGTAACAATAGCAAAGAAAAGTCCGATGCCACTGACCCCATGTTTCTTATCATACTCCTCTTGCTTGCCAGGGCAGGGTCGTGACTTGCGACGGTCCATCTCATTGCCGCCTTCGCATGTCGTCTGAGGAATACGGCGATATCCCGTAACCTCCCAGAATTCAACTTCCTCGGGGTGTGCTTGGCAAAACGCAGTGGGGTCCTGAGGCTCTAACCCTGGAACGAGTCGACAGATACCGCCATTTTGAGGTTCGTAGTTATAGTCGCTGGCCAAAGTTAGCTTTGTCTGAGGGGAAGTTATATAGTGTGATAATTCCGGAGTAAGCTCACCATTCGAAATCGGCTTTGGTGCAACTGCAATTTCTTTCGATACTGTGCAAATGAGGTCCTCGCCAATTATTCCAGCACTCAGCCGACGTTTTTTTGCGACGATACTGCGAAACGTGCCCAAATAAACAGTTATACTCTTGGAATGGGTGTTTCGGGTTCCAAAGCTGATAGTCGTCGCTAACTTCTTCACCATTGTCGAACTCACAATCCCTATTATAGAGCCCGCTAAAGTCAATATTGATAGTGATCAGTCCGCCTGAATTTGCACCCCAGATGATAAAATTTTTCGAGGTATCAGACGGTAAGGTCGAGATATCAATTATCTCGATTTCCTCATCCGAGAAGACATGATCGTGCCAAATGGCGCCCTCATCAGTGCTGTAATGAAGAACTTTTGTTGGCTCCTGTTCGGGCACAATTACAATCACAGAGCCCGAGTCGCCATACTCCCACATGTATCTACCTTTCTTCACGGGTTTCCAAGAGATCCCACCATCATGGGTCATGAAAGTGTCAGCTTCGTCTTCGCTGGTTAGATGATCCCCAACATTACCCTGGCCCATCATCAAGCCAATGGCTGAACCGGAAGAAAATGTGTCCCGCAAATCCACACGCTCAGTGTACCCGTGCAGATGAAGTGCGCAGCTATTAGTACCCTTTCCTTCAACAACTGAGCACGAGAACTCCTCTCCATCAGCGTCTTTGAGTGGGGGGGCCAAAAGTGTCCATTCTCCTCCATCATTGTGAGTGATCATTGTCCTCAGCTTTTTGGACACTCCGCTTTGCAATTCTTCGGTGTTGCTCACAATATTCGCTACTATAACTCCTTCCATAGCTTGCATTCTCTCAAAATCAACGTTCCCATTGTGATTCTGGTTCACAGCATCCAAGCTGAGAGCATAGGTCGTCCCATTGCTATTACTCTTGACTATGGAGCCATACTGACTGCCCGTCATATTGTTTCCTTGGACGTACAGGAAGATGGCATGCTCAGAAGTGTCAAGCACAGTATAGAGGTCTTCTGTCGGCACGATGTTGGGTGGGAACTTTAAATCGGCAAACGTTGTGCCATCAACACTGACCCTGGCCTTCAAAGCGCCATTTTCTGGGTTGCGCGACGCTACAATGATATACTCTGCTCTGGTGACATAGTTAACAACTTCTTCATCAACAAGCCTCCACTCTGTGATGCTCTCATCAGTTGTGGACTTAAGCTGCAGCCGGTTATTTTCATTTTCCCCTTCATATTGCTCACAAAAAATGAGGAATTTGCTGTCTGGCCGATTTTCTCTATACTCAAATTCGCATTTTTTGGCGCAGTACCGTATGAGTTTCCAGGTGTCTCCTCGGTCATCACTGAAATAGGCATTCGAATGGCAGCCAGTCTGGCTATCATCATCGTCTCTACCCACCCAAATCAACCAATCTCTCTTGGACGGGTGGAATCTCAATACGGGACTATCCTCATGGGTTGGAGGCGTTCTCGCTTTGAAAGGCCGAAATGTCTCTCCGCGATTGATGGTGTAGAATGCCTTTTCGCTGTCGGTGAGAATGTAAGCTGTATCGCTGTTGTAATGGTGGCGGGCTATTCCTATAACTTTGGCATCTTTCAATTCCTGCCGCCAACTTTTCCCATGGTCGTGAGATACAAATAATTCGTGCTGGCTGCTAAGCATCATGACCGTTTCATCCTCCCCGAGATTGGATACTTGTCGTTCTAAATAATAATAGGCGCGCATACCGGAACTGAAAGAATTTGGAGTTGAGATGATTCCTTTGCGCTTTGTTCCACCATTGGCTTCCTTGCATGGTATTTCGATATCCTTATCAAGATTTACTCCATCTTTGCTATCGCACGCGTCGCCAGGAATCAATCTCCAGCCCGATGGGCCCAGGAACGTATCGGATGGACTAGTACATTTTCCTTCCGGGGGAGTCAAAGACTTGGGTGGGGAACAGCCTTTGCCGTCTTCATTCCGCATGTATTCGCACTCGAAGTCCTCCGCAGTACATTTGCACGGTTCGAATTTCGACATGGAGTTGTTGAATGCTTCCGCAACGAAGCAGTCGGCACTAGCCTTTCTTCGCCTGAAAAACTGTTTGTGTCCCATCAAGCAATCCGGATCACCATTTTCATCCAAGCGAGCCGGCCAATGGGGATCAAAGTCATCGTCTTCGCATTTACGCTCATGCAAGTCATTAAAGTCAATTGCATAAACGAAAAAACCTTCCTTCGAGTGACCGAGAAAGATGAATTTCAAGCTCGTTGAGTCGGGCGTAGTGGTCACAATTGTGTCGGGCATTTCAGCATCGACCTCATGAGGAAGATCAACTGACTTCCACTCCTTTCCATGATCCAGGGAATATTGTATTTTCTTGACTTTAGCTTTATCACTTATTGCCATCAAAACGCTGCCTTGATCACCAAACTCATATTTATGCGGCCCCTTCAAGGCAAGGCGCCAAGTAAGACCAGCGTCATCTGACACATAAAGGTTTCCCTCTGAGTAGGCACCGAGATGATCGCCAGTATTACCGACCCCCATTACCAACCCAGGCGCAGGGCTCGAAAAGACACGGCCTGAGTTTGAATTCGAGTTCACAGAGTGCAAATGAAGGGTTTCGCCATCAACTTTCAGTGGCTGGAAAGTTCGTCCATCATCAAAGCTTATTTTGCTGATAACCTCTTTTCTTGACCCAGTCTCAACTTCCTTCGGGTTTTTGACAGTATTCACCAACACTATCCCTTGAATAGCAGCTATTTTCTCGAAATCAACATAACCTCGTGGGCCGCTATTCGTATTTTCAATGTTGCGAGTAAAATAAGTGCCATCCGAGTTGGAAGTAAAGAGTGCACCCATACCGTGGTGGGCATTCGTTCGAACGTCAACCTGAAGACTATAGTCCGTACTCTCCAAAACGGTATAGGCATCCTCCTCTAACCTATGATCCCCAAATTCCGCCCGATGCCATTTTTCGGTATCCACAGTCACATATAAAGCACGCTCGGTGGTCCCTTGTGAGTCAACGGCTGCGACAATGAATCGCTTGACTTGCGCGATGGCACTGACACCGGATACTGGGCGACCATCCTGGAGTTTAACCTCGATACCTGGGTTATTGAAGTAATCGTCGGAGTAGACAAGTCGGAATGAAAATTTTGATGATGCCTTCAAGCCTGGAACTACACAAATCGTGCGTTTTTCGATATTCTTTGGCACGTCTGAATCTGCTGCAAATTGAGGGTTCCCTACCGCCCAATAGCACCCGCCAGTGCTTTCGGTTAGCACATTTAAGGTACCAAAATCGTCCGTGGTATAATATGATCTGAATGCACATGAAATGCACGGCTTCGTCTCGAGAATGACTTTGCTCGAGTTCCGTCCATGAAAAGAAAAATGACGGTTACTCGAGTCCACAGTGTCCGGGACCGTGAACGACTTCCAGGTCTTCGCTTTGTCCGTCGTAACCCAATGTTTCCCGTCTTGCCCAACTGCATATGCTTTGTCATCGTCAAAAGGATGTTGATGGATGGAAATAACACCATGTTTCATGCCGTCATCCTCAATCTGTTCCCAGTTTTCACCGGCATCAAACGAACGTAGTAGTTCCCCATTTTTCAAGCTTAATAGAATGGTATCGGATTTTTCGAAGTAAAACATGTTATCTGATTCCGCATGGAGCTTATATGAGCTAATGCCGGGTTTCTCTTTCTTCGCGATGGTCGGCGGCAACAAGAGCGCCAATATTAGGCAGCCCAGAAGTCGAATCCATCGGGATATCATGGCCGTTGATCATCAAACATTAGAAGAGGCAAGGTGACTGGAAGCCGGCAGCCGGCAGAAAACCTCGCAATAGACAGGCCGGAATTAGGATCACACTAAAAATGTCCTTCTTTAAGAAAGGCGGCAGAAAAGGCGTAAAAAAACTGGTGGGTTGCAAGCTTAGAATCGAGAATATGTGGCTGCGAGGACTCGGAAAGCTGAAACAGAAGCGTAGATGACCATAGGTATTGTTCTGATAATAATTAATTGATCTCCAGGTGGCCTTGAGAGCTTCGTGGTCACGTGGTTCCACCTAGACCCAGTAGGGGATCGGCCGGACAGCCCACAATTTCGACATTTCATTGCGGAGTATTATTTGCTCAGGACCAGCTGGGAGTGAGTTACGGAGGCCTTCCATCCTCTATTATTGCTTAATTACGACCATACTTTACTTCTTTTGTCTTTATATATACGGGAGAAAAGAAACTGCGTCCGCAAGATCAAAGTACGGCGTCTCTATTTGTTTTAGTTGGTTTGCTGATGCTTGGTACGCTGAGACAACTGGAACCGGGTATATACATGGGCTCAGAATCGCCCGAACGCTAAATAGTATGAATAAAATTACTCAAACAAGTGAAATGTCAATATTTCCGTCGGCGAAACTTGCGCCACATTCTTTTCATCACGCTTTGGTCATCCGCGTCTTGTTCCCAGAACTCCGATATATCATGGGTCAAAGGCAACGGTTCGGTCGTTGTTGTAGGGGTAAGGCAGGAGTCACCCCGAAGATCTGGTCTTGTGAGAGTCATCCTCAACGTCATTTCCCGAGAATTGGGGGTCTGCTGCTGGGGATACGGCTCTGACCGTGAGATCCTTAAATCCCTCTTGTTGTCCACGAAAGACGTATCACGCGAGCCTTGAGGGCTTTCTGTAACATAAGAAAGCCGCGAATACTCTGCGCATGGGTCCTTTTTGGTGCCGCGTATGGGCATATCAACGTCGTCGCCGTCATCACCATCATCATCATCCTCTTCCAGGAATGTACCTTTAAATTTAGGGCCCCGAAAACTTGAACTTGGCTGAACAGAGTCCAGGATTGGGGAACCCTTTTCTTTCAATGCAGGAAATCCAAATTCAATTGCTTCATCAAATTTCTGTGGAGATGCGAGGAAGACTCGAAGCTTAAGGCGAGCTTCTGGGTCGTGGTAGTATTGTGCAGAAGGATCAATGCTGGAGGTCGAAGATTGCGATATATGACGGGATTTGCTTTTACTTGTCGGTTGGGAAAAAGAGGAGCGACTGCTGGCAATATTTGTGAAGACAGGTTGGGATTCGATGGTTGGGCTAGAGACTGGGGTCTTTCCATAAGATGCCAACGAGGCTGACTTGCGAGACAGATTCACTGAGTTGAATGACAGTGTTCTTCTGAAAGACGACCTTCTTTTCGGTGGGAGACATGATTGCGGAGTCGCTACCTGCTGCTGGTAGTTGTTCAGACTTAAGTCGATGTCTGTATCTTCGTCTAGCCAGCGGAAACTATTGTAAAGCGAGTTTTCCATACTGGGGTGGAAGTTGGGGCAGGCGCACAGCGACCCGAAATTTCCGATATCTTAAGCCCAAATACTAAGGCAGAAGGTCCTGCGACGACAGCCTCGGGACTCCAGGAGTCGAGAGTGATGATTTTATGGATGTGGTGGGTTCCGGGGCTTAGCCTGGGGACAAGGTAGCATTGCGATATCAAACCCGGGCTGCGCTCAAAACTATAGCTGGGGAAAGAGGAATCAGCTTTGGACCGGGTTCGAGGTAACTCTAAGATACGGACTTTGGTAGGCCGCGCTCTTGAAAGGAATTATCAGGGTCGCAAGAGACAGTGGAGAGGCAGAAGGTAGAAGAATCAGCAACAAAGATTGGCCGAATCAAGCCATCCTGTTCAGACTTCAGAGTTCAGACGCAATGGTTGATCCGAGTCCCCCTCATCGCCCCCATGTCAAGGCACGGCAGGCGTCAGCTTGAAAGCTTCGAGAATTTGCGAAAAGGGGAGCGCTGGTAGTGCTCGTGGGAACTGCAGTTTCAAGGCAACGGAAATTGTGAAAAACCACAAGGGCCAATGCCAAATGGTACGCTACTTATGGACCAACTCACGCTATGTATAATAGTGTTCATAGTTCAAGAGCAGTAGTTCAGGGATGGGCCGCAATCATTATCAAATCATCCACTGATGGGTCAGGGGCGGGTTCAAGAGCCCCACTCGGCTTCAAGGAAGGCAAACTAAACTCAAACAATTATGACTCCGAACTCGAAGGATTAAGTTTCCCAGAAATTGAGTCTCACTCTTTTATTTTGTTTGCCAAATTGCCATCCGCTTTTCTGGGTGGTTAAGTTGAAGGGCAATTGGCACACCTGGCCCTCCACTGTCAGCAAAGTTCGCAACGACCAGACCCTGAAGTATATGATGGTAAGTATATTTTGCTTTATTTACTGTTGAATTGAAGGATGCCACAACAGAAATCTAGACTATTATCGACCAGTTTAGGACTAGTTCTCACAAGAATGAAACGAAGCGTTGCCTATGTACTCCGTACACCGGAGCATCTGGTCGTCGAGGATCCCTCCTGGTGTACCGCAAAAGGGCCCCGCTCCACGGTAGTTAAGTGAGTTACCTAGTATATAACTAGTCAGTACCATCTGGTTAGCATAACTAAATCTTTCTAGGGTATGAAAGACTTATCACTAGTTTTAACGAGTTGGCTTCGACATAGGCATCTCTGCAGTAATAATCTGTGCGTCCTCCTTCTGTGTGGCCCTTCGTTGACATTGTGTGTTTCGGGTTCTAATTTTAGACCAAATCCTCGGGAAAGTAGAAGTGAGAAATGAACAAAAGAAGGCAAGTAGGCTTATATCTGTCCTTCATTGACGATTGTTTTCTAGATGTAAAACCTACGTGTCGGTGACTCATAAAACATTACCGGTCAGCATTTGTTGCATTGCCGCAGTGTTCGAGTCCTCTCTGCGAGAAACATATGCTCTGACATCCTGTGCACCAAGACCAGCCTCTGTACCAGTTCCTCCAGGCCCTCGTCCGGAGGGTTCGGGTCTAGCGTTGGCAGAGCTGCCAGGCCCGCGTATTCTCTCCCGCAAAGCCTCAGGCCCGATAACAAAAAGACTACCAACTTCAAGTAGCACGTCTAGCACCCCGCTCGGCGCCCTTATATGGTCATCTATATCCCACGATTTAAGCAAATTGGCGTACTGGGTCATATCCTTTGTGACCATTAGTCCACCAGGACCGTTGACAACAAACCGCTTGAAATGTTCAAGGAGCAGAGCGCGAACACCCAGGACAATTTCCGTAAGCAGCTGGCGCAAGTTGGTCCCGCTTGCTGGCAGCGACTTCACCGCAATATCATGGGCACGGGCTAGAAAAGCACAAAGTGTTGAACAAGTCTTATACCTGGTCAGTATCATTCTCTCACTAGGGTACAGGAGGAACAACGAACCGGCGTCTGTAATTTCTCTAACCAAGCTGTACTATCACCCTCCTTGGGTCGGAAATCGTTTTTCCTTTGACTGGACAGTATCTTATTCGCCCACATGAGTGCGGTATCGATGACTTTCTGTTCTATGGTGTTTATTTTTTCTTCTATACGGGCAGTTGCCAGGTTGGTCTTCTTTTCCATCTCACGACGCGTGGTAACGCTACCTGTTGCAAGAGGAATAAGCAGCGTATTGACACACATTACCATTAAATTCGCGATGCTAATCGATTCACGCACGCCCGGTAAATAAGAGAAATCTGGCTCGGTCTTTCCTGATTCTTGCGCTGTTGCAGCTTCTAGAGCGGCATCGAGGCAAATTTCAAGATAACCCTCTCCCATGATAGATAGTAGAAGATTCAAGAGTGTGAACATATCTTTTGGTGTTTCATTATTCATGCTCAGCTCAAGTCCTCTACCAACAGCTTCCGCAAGCCATTTGAGCATCCTTTTGGCAAAGGATACGCTGGGTTGCTCGTCCTCCTCGCTGAATTTGATGTCGTTGGACTTTGTGGGATCGTTAGACTCTTTCAAGCCTGCAATCTGGATAAGAACCTGTCTCTGTGTAGGAGAAAGTTCAGAGGACTCTAAGCGGTTTATATATGCTTCACGCGCGGATGCAAGAAGCTCGCTGCTGGATTTTGCGAGAGAGGCCATGAAAGTTGTTGTGGTTTTCTTTCTACGGCCATGAAATGTGGTAAATTTGAAGAGTAAAGATGTATACAACTCCTCCAGTGTTCTCTTTTCTCTCTCAATGTACGATGAGCCAACGAAGTAGGGCACGAACAAATCCTCTAATTGCTGATCAAGGATAAGCGAGGTTTGCGAGGATATAGTTTCTGGATGCTCAGTCAGTCCATGTGCTTTCAAGTCGTCCACCAGTGCACTAATTGAGCTGCGAGAACTCTGTAAAGATCGGAGGAAAGCTAGGGATGAGACACTAATTGCCTTCTCTAGAACCATCTCAAGTCTCTGCTGAATGGATTGTTGGAACACCCGTTGAAGGAATTTTCCGAGTACCTGCTCATGGTTGGGGAAGGCGCGCTTGATGATAGCTGATTCCTCTTGAACCACAACCCTGACTTCGTCAATCAGCGACTGAAGGCTCGGTTCCACCCCTGAAAGTTCTGCATCTGGGTCCGCAAGCCTTTCCCAAGACTCGTCATTCCCTCCAACCTCTTCTGTAACCAGTTGACTTCGGTCGATGAAGAATTGGTGTTGGTTGACAAACAACGCAACGACGCTTGCCCCGCCATTGAAATCTTGAAGCACCGTAGCACAATCCTTCATCCCTTCGAAGTTTGCTTTGCGATAGAAGTCGTCGAATTGTCTTAAAAGATCTTTTTCAAGAGTCTCGGAAAACTTTTCGATGATCTCGCGCGTATTCCATCTGAATTCATTATTCCCTTGCAAAGTGATACCGGCTGATGTAGGATGCCCATTCTTGTACGGCTCACTGCCTCTATGGTTTGGTTCCTTCCAGCTGTTCGGGTCAAGCCGCTGGCTAATCCTGAGTAGCTGTCGCGCAATATGTGCAGACCGCACCTTTGCTTCCCCAGATCCAGATCGTCTTAGATTCTCGAGAAGAGTAATCTCTCCCTTATTACTCACTCCATCCCAGCATTCCAATAGAAAGTGGGCATCGAGTGCTCGACGTCGTTGTCGATCAAGTTCTTCCAGCCTCCGCCCCGTTTCTACAGCCATATTTCCAGTTGCACCGGCCAATTCTCCTCCGGGGAGCCCAGAGCCATGAAGCGACGTGTCCAGCTGTTGAAATGATTCAATGGCTTGCTTCAATTTCTTCCCTAAGGTATTAAGGTTTTGAGAGTGCTGTGCCTCGGCCCTACGAACAGCCGCAGACAGTTCGTTTTCTTTGATTTCCAAGTCGCCGGACAACTCACCCAAACGTCGCTGCGCATGTTCGAAGGTCCGGATGAGAGGTTTGGGGTCAAAGGCCTGATTCCCACTGGCAGGGCCAAGAGTAGAGCGGCGGTTCGAGATTGCAGAGTCGGAAAGAGCCTCAATAAACTCCTTGACTATGTAATCGCGACTTGAGAAGTCTTCGAGGGTGAAGCTTGGGCCTTTGGGGAAAACCGATCGGGAGGTAGGGTTCGACGGTAAAGACATAGTCACATTGACTTGGAACCGAGTAAACTGTTTTGCAGCATGGGCGCTTCAAGGGGTGTGTTCTAACTGTAAGTTGTAAGTGATGGCTTTTTATCATCACCCTGGGAGGAAGGAGGGCAATCGACGGGGCCCATACATGATGCACCACGAGCCAAAGCGGAGAAGGAAGCTTCGTGCCCGCCCAGTGCTACAATCCAAACCCCGGTTCGAATCCGGACACACGCCTTTTTTTAAAAAAAAAAAAAAAAAATTAAAAGGAAAGTCAGTTATAACCAGATTGCGAAAGTGAGGTGGGGTTTTTGGAATTCCATGTGCACATAGGTCTGTTCTTCACAAGATACCCTTTAGGATTCTCCGGTGAGAAGGACACATCAGCAAGACTGCATTGACGAAGCTGCTACCTATCGCCAGGCCAATATGGTCTGGCCACACCGAAGGCGGAAGGGACTGCGTCTGATCGCAACCACGGAGGTTTGGAAACCTTGGTTGATCGCTTTTTCATCTCCATGGCTCATTTCGGCCTACAACATTTCCCCCCATCACAAGTCTACCAGCTACCAGCGTCGCAACGCCACTATTTTACGATCATGGTTTCAAACCGAGATAGAGAATTGCTCAGGAATAATATTCGCTCCAGGGGAGGCAAGCTTAGTGCAACCGATCGCGAAGATATCTTGAAACCATACCTTCCAGATCCATCCGAACTTCCACGCTGGCCACCTCAGCGACGCAAGAAACTTCCCCGCAAAACACCAATCCGTACATTCGTCAAATCGCAAATTCATCTCGTTACATACACGTTTCTTCATATCTTCTTTGGCATTGCCGTACGACTTGTCCAGTGTTATCATGCTGTCGTGGATCGTATCCTCGCGATCATTTACTATCACCACCGAACGCCAGAGCTGATACGGAAAGATGTTAAGGGTCTCGACCGCTTACCTGAGCATTTGAGTGTGGTTCTATCTCTCCGCAAAGAAGACGATGCTTTACCGATCCTCATGGATGAAGTTGCAGAACTTGTGTCTTGGTCAGTTAGTGCTGGCATACCAGTACTAAGTGTATACGAGAGGAGTGGTAAGTGCAAGATCAGTGGAATCCTGGTAGTTGCAGCTGCCACACCGTTGGCTACACCATCGAGTTCGCTTTGCTACGGGGACTGAACTTCCAGCTCAGAGACATTATGTGCTAAACAATATCCCTCAGGTGTTCTCAAATCCTGCATTCCGATTCTACATCAAGCGATCACCAACAAGCTGTCATCTTACTTTGGTACCTCACAACAGCCCGGCCTCCAACTATTCGCACCCCATCACCCGGTTTACGAAAACCGTCAAGGTGGAGACGCTTCTCACACTTCTTTGGCCGTACTTCTCTTGTCTGCCACAGATGGACAGGAGACCTTCGTTGATTTGACGAAGACATTAGCGGAAATGTCACAGAATGGAAAGCTTTCTCCGGAGGACATCACGACAGAATTAGTTGATGCAGAGATTAGCGAGATAACCACGCAACCATCTCAGGAGGTTACGTCAACCTCTACTCAAAACGATATCGATTGTCCCCGAATCCCTCAGCCAGTCAAGCCAGAACCTGATCTTCTTCTGGTGTTTGGCCAATCTCTGAAACTCAACGGGTATCCACCCTGGCATATACGCCTTACCGAGATGTACTGCACAGGTGTCAATAGTGATGGAGTATCAGGCAACAATGAAACTGTAGAGTACCAAGGATTCCTCAGGGGCCTTTGGCACTATGCCGGCGCTCAAATGAGATTTGGACGTTGAGTACTATTCGGAAGAGGATATACATATGATGTGATGTATACTCGTATGAAAAGACTTTATGACTCTGTCGTTCGGTATTTTGCAATTAGTAATAACCGCCATTCAAGTTTATCTATAGAACGATGAGAAAAGCGCTGTGATGAAATAACATGCCAGCGGTCAAGAAGCTCCGGCAGATCACTGTGTTTAACTTAGCAGCAGCTACTGATAATAGTCGTTCTGGGCTGTGTGATATGCCATGCTGCTGGTACTCGGTAACCAGACATATATGTGTGTCAAGTGGCGTGTTTCTAGTCGTAAACGTAACCAATATTGCCTCCTTAATTTTTACACAAGAGTATATTGGATCACTCCAAGATGCTAGCATCTGTCCGCGACTGCAGACCCTCTAGGGAACTCCGCCCTCGCTCTTGATTTTCCTGGCCAGCCCGGCTATGGCAGTCAGCTACGTCACACCGTCGCAAACAGATAAAGCAAGCGTGTTGGCCACACAAATCGCAGTCGGCATAAGCTTCGAGGAGCTCTAGAATAGTGGGTTTTCTGTGGCATATGTGGTAGGAGCGTAGAAATGACGCTGATGCGCCAGATATGTGCTGCGATGGCCTCGATGCTGGAGTTCTAGGAAACAATGCCGGCGGTGAAATATTCAGGTTGGTCGGTAAGCATATGGGCTGAGCCACAGCCTTGTTTTGTATTGCATCAAAGTAAAACCGCAGAGCAAACGAGAGATGTGGAGTCTGTTGTGAGTAGAAGGATGGCTGCTGAAGAGCTCGTCGTTTCCGATTAAGGCATTGTAGGTGCGAAGAACATTCACTGTTACAATGCTTCAATGGGCCCGCATAGCCCAAGTGGAACGAAGTATCAAGAGTATGAACTTGTGGCGTAATTATCCTGATACTAATCAAGAATCAGAGAATCGGTAAATTGAGGGAAGTTCGGAGATATTATCCTTCCGGGCTCTGTAAACCATGCTCACCTATTGATAGAATGAAGGACGTCCACTTGAAGTGTGACTCTCTTTCTCTTTTTCCGGTCTGCGCTGAGCAGAAAATATCACTGTGTCCAGGCCACATACTTGGCAACTATTCGAGGGCAGAGTCAGCACAAGAGCAAAAGTATAGGAGCCCAAAAGAAGGTAGTATTATATGCCAAACACTTATCTCGAGAGCTTTAACCCCAGCGTGCTGAACTGCTGCATTCACTAACTTACCGCCCATTAAATCCAACGCTCGTGCTCGTGGAGTCAGGACTAACCATATCTGGATTCAAAACTCTCGTGAATGGATCCGGTTTTCATCGTTTAATTGGATACTCATAACTCCTAGTGAGCTGTGGCTCCACCCACCGACTCGGTGCTGGTCTCCTGGCAAATCGCGCGTCCGGGATTTGGATCTCCTCTCCCCCTCAAATGTACTTTGAAGTTGGGGGTCTGCGGTTTCATTATTGTTGTTTGGCATGGGGCAGCAATTGCATTCTCAGGCACTTGCAAGTATTTCTTGACTACTAGCACATGTTTCGCCAGTGAATACACAAGCACCAATCTACTATGGAGATTAATGTGACCGAGCTAGTCGAGAGACTAGGAAATGAAGAAGATGCGGTGCGCAAAATGGCCGTGTTCAAACTCCAAAGCAGTATTGGAGACCCTTCGTTTGCAGATGTTTTCATCGCAGAAGGCGGCTTGACACGACTTCGCTATCTCACCTTGAATGCCAGTGGAAATACCCTGGCATACAGCTTAACCAGCTTTGCAAGACTCCTAGAAGTCGATAAGGGATGGGAATGCGTGGACCAGGAATTAGTGGAACGAGTATGTTCTCAACAGTACAATGTTCCCAAAACTGTTTGTGCTGGCGTCTTTCACAGACTCTTTACTAATGCAAGATGCCTCTCATTTTGTCTAGGTCGTTGAGCTTATCGTTACGCACCCTCTAGTAAACATCTTGAGAGGTGCAATGTCTATTCTTGTCTCCATCGTTTCCCATCCTTCTCCAGCTGGTCACACATCAATGAACGGAGTGTTCGGATTCCGAGCTCTGAAGCCTGCAATCGCCATTTATCCGCAATTTCTAGAAATGCTTGTCAGCAGACTCTCTTCAGCCGATCACGCACTCTGTGCCAATGCTCTACAATTGATCAACTCGCTGATGCGCGATTCCATAACAAATGACTCGGAACTTGAATGGCCGAAATTTATCCAGAAACTGCAAGATCTCGGTGTTATTAAAGCTGTCTATTCGTTGATGCAAGGCACGGCATTACAGGACCATGCGCACCCTCTAATTGAATTCCAATCTCTCACGAAAATTCTCCTGCGAAGATGGCGGGATATATCCTTAGACCTGGATAAACCAGAGCATAGGAGGGCTCTCAAAGGAATTCATCTTGCCAGTACTCAAGAAAAAGTAACTGAAATTGGCAACGATATCCGCCGATCAAAGAAACATAATTCAGACAAATGGCGGCGATTAGGCTTCGAGTCCGAAAGTCCGGTATTACAATTTGAGGAGATGGGGTTTCTGGGCATGATGGACTTGGCGGATTTTGTTCGGAATCACCAGGACGAATTCCAGAAAATGCTCCTTGAGCAGTCAACTAAATCACCTGAACAACGTTGTCCGATTGCCCGCGCTTCCCTATCCGTTACATCGATTCTATACGACCATTTTGAGGTTGATAAGTCCGAAACCGAAGACAAGACTTATTTGTTACTGGAGTCCCGTTCTAATCTGGATAAACTATTCAAGCCACTTCTGTTACACTGGACCAGATTACATGTCGGAGGCTTGTATGCATTTTTCCGTCTGTGGAAATCAACGAGCGCAGAGATTGAAGACTACGATAAAATCGTTGAGCTTGTTCGTATACTGATCGAGTCAGTCGTTGGAAGCGCTCCTCGAACGAAAGATGTGCAAGACGTGGAAGAAGAATTAACAGACTTTGAATATATCCGACTGCGCAACCTACAAATGGAGCTGTTGGAGCTCACTTACGAAGACGTTTGGGGACAGCATTTGCAGCAGGTACGCGAAGAGTTACAGCACGAGGCCCTCCTGTTTGTCAAGGAGCAAAGAATCCGGTGTCTACTACAGGGTTCTTGGTTTCCCAACGATGGCACCCCTAAAACGGACGGGAAATCAGAATATCCCAAGTGGAGGTATATCCAACTCTCACACAACCGAAGATTTCTCCATTTTGGAGATTTCGAGGGTATAAATAGAAAACGCCCGGAGCTCGATGTGCTTACGGGGAAAAGTGAGTTATTCCTGCATGTCAGCAGTTTTGACCGCCAAGCTAATGTTTCGTCAGTCGACTTATCTATTGTATCTTCGGTGGTCTCTAATGTATCAGCATCGCCCGACAATGCATCTTCTTCAACAGTTAAAAGTATGCCACATCATGTTTCATCCACAAAAATCTCGATCTATGGCTATGTCCAAGCCGCCACTTCCGGTGATATCCAAAAAAGCAATGGCCATTCACGCTCGACTAGCAGAGCCACACAAAGAGAGGCTACTCTTTTAACTCTCCGTCCAGAGTCCCCAAGTGTTGCGTCTGAGTGGCTCGACGGTTTGCTCATGCTTCTAAACCAACAACCTATTACCGCTGAGACAAGCAAGTTGATAAAACTAATTAGTAACTACGGACTTAAAATTCGGCTACTAAATGTCCGTTTTGATGATGCAGAATTTGGAGGCGAAGCCCCATCTGTTCCGTCACGTGATGGCCTTACTGATGATTACTATTATGATATCTTTGGTGGTTCCTAAAACGCCAACAGCGCCATAATTCAGGAGTTAATCAACACCTCACAAACAATCTGCATTCATGTATCTATATTATAATTAACTAAGTATAGCGCACTATTCTTTATAATTTCATGAGTCATTCCTGGAACCTCAGACTAGGCAATTGGTGTTCTATCGACATCCATTGAAATCTTCAACGCGATCAGCCAATCCCCAATCTCCAAATGCATCAGGATAAACAAATGTCCAAACCTACCGATGGCCTGTAACACCTAGGTATGTTTTTTGTAGTTGATTTAATAGGCATTTGATGTAGCCGTATGTAAGTAAATGGAACGGAACTTCGGTTGCGCGGACGGTCACGCGGTAGAGAAAAGTCCATACCCTCTAGGTCTCTCTCTCCTGTTTTTCCGAGCCCACATTCCTGCATTATTTCCGTTACCGATCCATCAAACTCTCTTACTCGTGTCCAGAATCCTCCCATGAAACGCGATCACGGCGCACCAAATTTAAACAAACAATCAATACACGAACTACCTCGACCCACAGCCGACCTGAATGGTTCGAAACGGCGATGACCCTGCAATTTGGCGAAGTCGGGTAGCGCAGCTCCGGCAGTTAAAGAGATGGGTGACAACGAAGACTTGATTGAGGATGACTATGATTCCTATGACGAATTATTCGCCCAGCACTTTACGGACGAGAAACTTTCGCAACTTGATGGAACGGAAGCTGTGCCTACCCAAGATAAACCTCCAATATCCTTTCGAACGAAAAATGGACAGAAATCTACAAACAACGCCAAGCGCTTCATTTTACGATCAAAAAACTCTCAAGATCCCAAGTTGCAAAATGAACGGAAAGAGAAATTACCTTGGGCACAGAGATATGCTCCCCAAACGCTGGAGGAACTGGCGGTTCACAAAAAAAAGGTCAGCGATGTAGAGCAGTGGTTGAACAATGCACTCACTGGAAAAGCTCGAAAAGTATGTCAGAACTAACCCTCTTCCCGCTAGTTTTTTACCTAGAATGAACTACTTACCACTGTCCTTTGGGGTTCCAAATTGCTGACCAACATAGAATCTACTTGTTCTCAAAGGACCTGCAGGGAGTGGGAAAACCGCGACGATATCCTTACTATCGGACAAATTGAAATTCAATGTATTGGAGTGGAAACCCCCGTCAGGCTCCGAGTACGGGGGAAAGGATTTTGTCTCTTTTGGGGCCCAGTTTGATGGATTTCTGAGCCGCAGCCATAAGTTTTGCAGCCTTCGCTTGGATAGCAGTGATGGTGCACAGTCACCCATGAAAGACAATCACTTCCAGCGACGTATCATTCTCATTGAAGAATTTCCAACCTTATCAGGTCCAACTGCGTCTGTTCTCGCTGCTTTTCGGTTATCTATATTACGATATATCTCCATGGATGCACCACATTTCCAAACTGGTTATTATAGCGGTGAAACTGGGATACCACCAATTGTCATAATTGTGTCCGAATCATATTCAAACCCCGAGTCCTCGCTCGAAAACCTGACCGTTCACCGCCTGCTTGGTCGCGAAATCTCAAACCATCCGAGGACGAGTGTCATCGAGTTTAATAGCATTGCGCCCACGTTCATGTCCAAAGCGCTGAAGCTAGTTTTGAAAAAGAGCGCATGTCAGCCCATGGTTAACCAAACTTCAACGCAGCTAACAATCAATGCTATCTCTATGATAGGTGATATTCGAAATGCAATCGCCTCCTTAGAGTTTTTTTGTCTCGGCACCGACAACCGATGGTCCGGGGAGGTTCACAGCGCTACCAACATCAAAGACGCGGGTAGAAGTCGCAAAAATATCCCCCCTGTCAACAGTGAGACACGAATTTTATCTCAAAGGGAAGCCGGTCTCGGTTTATTCCACGCAGTTGGAAAAATCATTTACAATAAACGAAACGGCGGCACTGATACCGAGAATCCACAAGACCCTGACCGGCCCGGTGTCTCTCAGGTGCATGTTAATGAGTTATTAAATGAAACTGGAACAGATATTCAATCGTTCATTAGTGCCCTCCATGAGAACTATGTGCCCTCTTGCAACGGACCGTCATTCACTAGATGTCTAGATGACTGTATACTATCGCTGTCGGACAGTGATGTGCTCTGCGTTGACCGAAGGGGCCTCAATAGGCCCCAATCTGGTTTTGGGACCAATTTCGTCAAACCTGGGACTGGTGTTGACTTTCTACGACAAGAAGAAATAAGCTATCAAGTTGCTGTACGCGGTCTTCTCTTGTGTCTCCCGTATCCTGTGAAAAGACAGGTTTCACATACAGGCAGTGCGAGTCATTCAAATAACCCTCATAAGCTATCCTTTCCCCCTGTCATCCAACTGACTCGTCAATTCGAAGAAACGCGGAATATCATAGATTCGTGGGGAAACGCCCTGCTTAGTTCCACCGGACAGCTGAGTGCAGTCCTACTACTAGGCCACGCCGGGTCTACATCGCACAGGTCTACTCGTGCAGAAGGGGTGGGATTTCAGAACAATGGCTCTGAAATATCGACGTCTGTCGCTGTTCCAATCGCGCGCAATGATCTAATACTTCATCAGTTGCCCTATATGACGATGATCCTTGAAAAGGGTGTAGGGTCGAGGAGCGCCCAAAAAATTACCAGCCCTGAAACCCGCGGCCCCAAGTACCGCCTGCAACAAGACGCGCAATATGCATGGGGCTCATCTGCTTCCGGTTTTCGAAAGCTCGGACGTGAAACTCAGAGTACCCAACTCGAACGGCAGGCACTAGCGGCTTCGCAAGCAGACGATGGGCAGCTTTTTCTCGAGGACGACGACATTGTAGATGATCCATGATTTTATTCTTTCGGATGGCCCACATTCGCCTGGTTTATATGCAGATGAGTCTAACCGCGGTATCCGCAAGGCGATTAACAAACCCATCACCACGATATAAAAATATATATATTTGTACATGTAAGAGGTAGAAAGGAGCTCAAACTATAATTTAGGTACGAAAGAAGCATCCGTTTACACAAGTAGTACTCTGAACGTAGTATCACCCCGCTAACTATTCTGTAATTTTGGGGTTAACACTCCGTACTCATACGAGATCAAGGCTGTGTACTCGGGGTCTCTGTGAGGATGTGTAACTAAGTTAGTTAGCTCACCTGTATATTAGTAAGAACCTAACTGTAAGTTAGCCTAAATTAACTAGCGCGAGGCAATGACCCTGATCTGAGCTTAAAACAATCGAGCTGATAATCACCTTTCTATCTATCTCTATTAATATTCGTTACCCACAACACCTATTGTTTCGTGGATTTAAATGACAATGGCAACAAAGTCGCCCGCACAACATGCCACTGGGGCCGATGACTTATTCTGGACGGAGAATGGCCACCGGCTGAAATCTCGCCCCGGTTGTTCCAACTCAACTTTCATCTCGCATTCACAGCGGAGTTCCGAGAAAAACACAACCCTGCCTGGGCGAAAAGCATTCGGGAATGAGCCTGCCTACAGCGTGCCTGACATTGCAGCCACAACAATTAAAGCCACATTCACTCATTGGACGAACATTTTCCTGATGGTCTCGTTGATATTCGGAGGATGTTGTGCGAATGTGGGTGGATAGATATCATTCTGGGGCGAGCCATCCAAACTAATTTTCGAATCAAGGTATTTGCGCTTGAAGCTATCATCAAGTAAGTCCAAGAGACCCTTCAAGATAAGATGGAATGTTTGCTTATCAACCATAGGGATCAACCAAGTTCAGGTAAGTATATTGAATTAGACTCCATTCTCAGGCCTTGAATGTTGTATTCTGACTACCTCAAGGGCCGTTAATAACATTTGCTCAATTCCTCCTAACTGCGCTTTTTATGTCGCCGAGCTTTGTTTCGCCATCAGCAGGCTTCCGGTCGTTCTTTCTTAGTCCGCGCTCTATCCCATTACGGTCATGGCTCATTTACACAGCATTTTTCGTTACAGTCAATCTCCTGAATAACTGGGCATTTGCATACCGGATTTCCGTGCCCCTGCATATCATTTTAAGATCTGGAGGCCCAGTCGCATCGATCGTGGTTGGTTATCTTTACACTGGTAAAAGATATTCTCAAGGACAAATGCTCGCTGTTGCACTACTTACCTTTGGGGTCGTCGCATCCGCATTAGCAGATGCACAAGCGAAGGGACAATCTATCCATATTGAAGTCGATCGGGATTCTAGTATATTAAGCACTGTTATTGGCTTTGCTATTCTTGCCTTAGCAATGCTTCTCTCTGCATTTCAAGGCATTTACGCAGATCGGCTATACGCAACTTATGGACGGAACCATTGGAAGGAGGCTCTTTTCTATTCTCACACGCTTTCTTTGCCACTTTTCGTTCCGACCCTTCCGCAGCTTCTCGCACAGTGGCATGCACTAAACTCGTCTCCATCGTTGTTATCCCAGGTTACGGCATTGGCAGGGCAGGCCGGGGACACAAATACATGTCTCACCTCTGGCAACACAGCAGACTCGGCGGGGCCGTGTGCGATATCTACAAACACTCCAGTCGCAGTTGTCTTCCGAGTGCTGTTGAATTTCCGTGATTACAAAGTTTTTCAGCCCATCTTAACTGGCATTCCAGTTCAAGTTTTCCATCTCCTATTAAACGCAATGACACAATATTGGTGTATTCGCGGAGTCCATCTTCTCTCTGCAAAGTCATCGTCTTTGACTGTAACAATTGTGCTGAACGTTCGGAAGCTAATTTCACTCCTGTTGTCGATACATATTTTTGGAAATTCACTCTCGCAAGGTGTGCTCGTCGGTGCTATACTTGTATTTGTGGGCGCCGCCATGTATGGCTTTGAAGGCGCACGGCTCAGGAGGAAAGCGCTGAAGAGGGATTAATTGGGCTAAAAGCCAAGCCGATTTAGCCACATATATAAACATTACCCCGTGTATGGTGCTGGACTGGTTTTTTTTTTTCGTGCAGCTCATCTATGCGTATATATCAACTTTGGATCATCATATGTATCATACGAATATATCCTACATGCATAAGCATGATATATCTCGTGGTTTTGCACAGGGTTTTCTTCAAATTGAGATGGAGTTATAATACAAAAAATAATGCATCATGGCCACACAGGTTGCTATAATTAGGCCTGACACGCGGAAAAATGAAGAATCGAGGAACGCTCATTAAGCATACCTACAGGACTTCGCCGACAATCTTTGCGGCAGCCTTGTATGTCTCTAATAACCTCTCGCATTTTTCCCTCTCAGCCTTGATGCCATCATCCTCATAAAGAAGCTCAGCAAAATACTCCTCCTTGTACAGTTCGCTAACAAGTCGGTTTTGTACGACGTCTTTGCTATGGTTGACAAGAAGGTGCATAATGGCTTTTGGTACCTGATCCGCGATTGTCTCCCTCACGATGGTGAAGTATGAAGAGATTAGCCGTCGAATTAACTCAGTTTCCATAAGTTCTCGATCAGAGATGGCTGGCTCGGAATCATCCTTCAACTAAAAACAGCCCGAGACGGGTTATTAATTGTATTAAGCAAGAACGAGGCGAGGATTGATACTTACAAAGGAACCCACGTCGTTGTGTTCAGCCATTGCGGTGTAATCCTGCGAGTTCAACACCGGTGAAAGCATCTCTGTGCGCCGTAAATTAGGGCTACTGTTGACTTCTTGGACAGATTGTCTGTTTTGATTTTGACCCAGAGCAGAGGGTGTAGATGGTTGCGCACCGTCTTTGCCAAAAAAGTAATTCAAGAACGAATCGCGGGTGGAATTTGCACCTCCGAATGCGCCTTGTGCGCCGGAGTGCGTGCCATTTAAGGTGGCAGTAACCCCATTCTCTTGATTTTTACCAACTTGGGGAGACAGGCCTCGAGATCCTTTGCTAGATTGGGATCTGATAGGAATGTGTTTGGTTTCAGATTGCTCTTCCTCTTCTTCAATGTAGGCCGGTGCATTTCCGTTCGGGCCACCCAGTTCTTTAATTCGCCTCTTCTCTCGCTTGCGTCGGTCTTCCGCTAGCGCAGCCTTCCTCTCTTGGTCTTGTCTGTTTTGCATAATTGAAGACATTGCTGCAGCGGCACCAAGGAAATTTGGATGGTTCGTGTTGATGTAGGCCCTTTGGATTGAAATCAACGATTCCACGTACGTTGAGCAAGGACCTAGTCTCTCACGGAGGAGATCCGACACGACTTCAATGAGCTTGCCTTGGAGGCGGGGGAAACGGAGGAGCTCTTGCGACCCACAGGTATGGCAGATTTTGATAAGCTCCTCGTAAACTAGCTCAACACACCTCTGGCTAGGAGGTTCAAGTAGCTTTATTTGAGGTTTCACGAGAAGGTCAAAAGCAAGCTCCGGCACAAAAAGGCTTGGGCGCGGCCCAGTCGAATTCCGAATGGCTGTCCTGATATCCGAAACTGAAAGGTTATGTGTCGGTTCAATAGTGTCAAGGGAATTTCCGAAAACAGAATTAAATATATAGTATATCCTAGCACCGCCACATAGCTCTTTGGTGGATATTTCAGATGAGGTTCCATCGATCGAAGATATAAACGAGGACGCGAATCGCGTCATCAGCTGTAGTATCAGAGACCCCCTATGTTCTTTACCACTGAATTGCTTGTTGCCATAGCTGGCAAGCTCTTGCTGTGTTTGACCCATCAGAGTATTTAGGCGAGCTTTAATGTCAGGTAGGCGATCCCTTATATGAGACATTAGAGTCGAATTCAGCGTCTTCGCAAGAAATTGTGTACCGCATCGATTTGCCATGTTTCGGTAGGCTGGGTGGTGTCGGAAGAAATCGAGTTCAGCATGAAGGGCTTCGGATAAGGATTTGCCAGACTGGATATCTTGCTGAGACCTGTTAACCACACCAATAAAGCCAAGCTTTAACGGATACACACGGCCAGACAGAATGTCCATGGCATTAGTCCCATGGTCCATGAGGTCCAATTTCGTTAAAACGCCAATTGTCCTCCGGCCCATGGGGTCTACCTGCCGAGCTAGCTTCAGAGACTCAGAGTTGACCAAATCGACATTTGCGGGTGAGACGGCTAGGATAATACTGTTTGGTTTCGCAATGTATTCGAGAATCAAAGCACGGGTTTGCTTTTCAATATCCGATGGCTGGTCTCCAATCGGCACCTTGGTCAGGCCGGGCAAATCAACCATTGTGAGGTTGAGCACATGAGGAGAAAATATCTTCAGGTTTATCGGCTGGCGGTTGATACCCTTATTATTTCCAGCTATTCTCGCGGTCTCCGCTTCGATCTCCTGCTTAACAAGAGCAAAATCATCAAATTTGCGGCCCGGATGGTGGTGAAACTCTGCCCACTCATTCTGACCAGCTACGCTGGCGGCCGTGTGCGGAATATGGACATCATCGCCCTCGGGTTTGTCGTGGCGCTCGCTGGGAATATTTATAAGCTGCAAGATCAAAGGTCTCCTGGTCACGATCCCACTGCCCCTCGGAAGAAAGTCTCTCCCAACTATGTTTTCCAATACAGACGATTTTCCGGATGATTGCGAGCCGACAACAACCTGGTAAGAAGGTCAACATGAAATATCCCTGCTTTGATTGGTACTGAAGCCACACTTACAATTTGCGGTAAATCAAGCGAGTCATTTCCAATGGTGTTAAAAACTAGGTCTTGCAATTTATTGACAGTAACCAATAGGTCCTCCCCTAGGGCAGCCATTGTCCTCCTCTGGTTGATATATTGAGCTTGAAACAACAGTCGGGTGCTCGGCGCGCCAGAGATGCGGATGCCAAACCAAGGCAAATAGTGACGTAATTAGACCAAAGGAGAGACAGCAACGTGGCACGAAATCAGCGAGAGTGTCTGGTGGCCTTGGAGGCTTTTGATCTCGTTTTGGTTGCTTCAAAGTTGCCGCTACCACCTACCTACTCCGTCCATGCTGTCGCAATTTAATAGCCACGTGACAAACAGCTTATATAAGCTGTTTGGGAGCTCGTTAACAACTAAGTTGGTTAACCAAACTACATTGCATAGTTACTTACTTGGTTAACTGACAAGTTACTGCGCCGTAGACTACTCGGTCGTCAGAACCCGCTGTTAACTAGCGCCGAACGGGATAGTCCAAAGTCCAAGCCCTCTTTACATACTAAATATCCACCAAGTCGTTAACACGTTTAATATAGCGGTACCGAAATGTTTCCAATCAGTGCGTTGGGATAGCAGTGCGTAATGAAACCTAATGAAACCTTTCTACAACCGGGAATCTCGCTTTTGGTTAGGATAATTATTGGTTTTGTCGACCGGAAGGTCTCATCGGACAACTTCACCGATGGATAACAAAATAATGTAGTTATATTCGAGTGCTTATGTACTAGTGTAGAAGTTTGATGTGAAAAAAAAAGTCATACGAGTCCTGACACAAGGTGATGGTTCTCACTTCAGAGCGGCGTCTGAAGTCTACAGACATTTTAACAGAGCATTTCCAGAAGTTCCGGCAAAAGAAAAAGATGCTTCCCTAGCCATCAAGCTGAACGTAGTTCGCTGGGAAAAGACCGGTCTTACCACGGTATTCACCTAGCCACCAATCATCATCGGGGAATTCCTAGCGGAAGACAATCATTAGCATATAGGCCGATTCAAGAAGTTGGGGTAAAATAGATGCAGGGGCAAAAATAAAGAAGGGCTTACAATGTTTGTGATTTCAGCGTCCTCGGGGAAACTGAGTTCATTATCTTCAGCGGCCTCATAATCGTAAAGAGCCTTTGCGGTAGGTTTGGCGCGTGAACCTGGGGACACTGTGGAACCGGTAACAGTCTCAGGCGAAAAGGCGTTGGACCCAGGCTGCGTTTCAGATGGGGCGCGGTCCTGATGCTCATCCTCGATGATTTCAACATAATTGCTTGGGAAGAGCCCCTTTTCGCCTCGAGCATTTAGACCCAACCACCAATCCTTGTCTACCATTTCAATTTCATTGACGTATTCGCCTTCTTTCAAATCCACCTCGTTATCCTCCGCCTTTTCATAGTCGTAATGCACAAGAGCCCGTATGGGTCCAGAACCGGCGTCACTAGCAGGTACGACAATACTTGTATCTTGAACACCACGGGGCTGGTCCTGGTCACCCGAAGGCTCTCGCTCTAGATCCTTCGTATGTTCGGCTACCGAAGGTGGATAATGTTCTTCGGTATCATCTCTAGCACTTCTCGCGACAGGCATGGCAACCTGGATTGGTGAATCCTCACCTTCAAAGTAATCCAGCGCCGGTGATTGGAGGGGTTGGGACTGAGGGGCGGAAATCCCAGGAGCCTGTGGCGCTTCAAATTCCGGACTATGCACTGAGGGAGAAACAGATCGCACAGGATCGGCAGAGTTAGAGATTTGCTTTGATGCCCCTTGCGTGAGCTGGTCTCGGATAGCATTAACACCTTGTCGGGGTGCTATAGACTCAGATGTTGAGCTTTCCACTGTAGCACCACCGCTTGTGGCGTCATGGGGAGTGCTTTCAACAGACTTTCCAGTGTGTGCTGTCTGGACGGGGGCCCATGTTTTCCCACTATAAGAGCTCTTCCAGTCCCCTCCGCTATTTTGGGTTGCAACGGCGGAAACCGGGCCGTTAGATGGCGTAGTAGCAGCACCAGAATCCTGGCCGCGTTCTTTAGCCTTCCTTTCCGCCCAGAGTTGTGCAGGTGTCTTGCCTCCTTGGTCGGCAAAGGCTCGATTAGCGCTTCCTACAGGGGCAGCAGGTGCCACACTTGTTGCGTTATCAGTGGTGGGAAGAGGCGGCTTCGTGCCTGTAAATGCCGGGCCGCCACCAAACCTGTTGGAAACCTTGGGCTTGGGCAATGATGTGAGACGGCTTGATTGGTTGATATCTGACTCCGTGGCGGAAATGGGTGGCCGCTCAAATGGAACAGGGGATTCCTTCGGTTTTGTCACAGTCTCATCTGCTTTTTGCGCCTTAGCACGGATCGCAGCAATATCAACCTTTCCCACTGGTTCATAAGCGCCCTTTACAGGCTCCGGTCGATCATCCTTTAAGTTACCAGCCTCATGTGCCTGTCTCCTGATAGCAGCAATATCTACTTTGCCGATGGGTTGATACCCGCCTTTGACAACATCTTCTTCTTCGGGATTTATGCCGCTAGAGTTCACAGTTAGGTCAGTCTGTTTCCCCGACTTGAGTTCTTGTATGTTCACCCGGGTAGGTTGGTAAGCCGGCTGAACTTTTTCTAAATTTGTTCTAGTGATCGGAGGGGCATCAGGACCCCATCCATCGTCATCACTCGATTTCACCCGTATAGGTAATGGGGCGACACCGGTCGAGCCCGCACTGATCCCCCCGGTGCGAAGAGGAGTAAAAACCGGCTTGCTGGATATGGGGGGCTTAGGTGCAGAAGTGGTCGATTGCTCGGGTCCCGGGTTGTATTTTGCGCCTGACGAGTCGCCAACTTTCTGCATGACGCCCTCTACTGTCAAGTCCGCATCTGAACGAGCTGTTATTTGAACGTGGTAGCCCTAGAAGCTCGCTGTCAACATAGATCGACAGATGATGCCTTATCTACTGAATCGCATTGGGGGACTAACATGTAAGAATTTCGACACAGTGGACAAGTGGCTAGTAAAATAGCCCTTGGTTCGTTCAGGAACTCCTTCCCCACACCACGCAATGAGGACGCTTTTAGGAAGCCCAGTATTCACATCCTTTACCTTCACAAAAGCGAACTGGATCTTCCCCTCCGAAAACTCCTCAATAAGATCAGCCAACTCGCCCTCTAAAGTGACAGGTGAAGTTAGCTCAGCCGAAGAACATCCTAGACGCAAGGCCGCATACCTCCTGAATCCTGAACTTTAAGGACACTTTCTTTATTGCCAGCATCTTGTTGAAACGCGCTCATAAGGGGCGTTGAAACCGAGAAGATCGCCCACTTTGCAACAGTTGGAGAACCGTTCGCGCTTTCCGAAATAGAAGATTCGACTACCGACATATAGCTCTTTGATATCGAGGCGCCATTGGCCGATAGATTGAGGGACGCCATGGTCACAAACCCGACCTTCTCTCTGAGCGAAAGACTTGGGAGATTTGCTGAGGTTAGTCGTTAATCGCAGTGCAGAATGACTGTACTATGAGGGAAGTATCAGTCACCGTCAGCTTCAGAGTTTTGAGTAGACCTGGTCAATTCCTGGAACGTAATCGCGTGGTTCCACGATCCCCCCGCTTTCTGCCCGAAAGAAATTGAGGACAACCTTGAAAGGATGCTCGGTATAAGACCAGTTGTCGACGAGTTCAAGCTTCGCTGAGAAGTTGATGAGGAGTAAAAGACGATCTCCAAACTGTTGCCTAATATAGGACCCCTAAGTAAGCTTGCTGTTCTTATGAAGGTGGAACCAGGTACGTAGTTACTACGCATCAGCTATTATTCAGTAACTACGGTGTACTCCATACGTCACACTAGTTTACCTGAGCAGCGGAGTTCGGGAAAACGATTAACCAATACCAGCAGTTGCTGAAATAAAAACAGGCAGTCATGTTCAGGTGAAACTTGCCCGCTGAATGTTCCATTATTTCTAATGTACTGAATATCATGGTTTAATATAAGTGTTAATCATTGTTTCAGTAATGTTCTGTCGCTGCAAGCTAGCGAAACCCCTGCATTTAACTGTCCTTTATCTTGTGACAAACGTTGCCACTTATAAGAGGTAAAATCTCTATATGTATATTGTTATGATTTATACTAATGAGTCTACCTTGTTCGCATTTCAGTTGCTAGTACAAACTACGAAGTACTTCCATATTACGTCCCATATACCGCGTTGGTTTCTCCAAAACTGTACGAGAGGTACATCGGGGTCATGGTCCAAGAGCCCAACAACAACATCGCATTGTAGACGAACCCAACCACAATAACCGAACGACGGGCGAACAATATGGATGAAAGGCACCCTGGTGAGCCGGTTGTCGGGGAGTCAAGAGAAGTTCTTCCAAGGGATAGGCAACTGAGGACACCGACATACGACTATGCGTTTGAAAAATCAATGAGCCATGCAGAAGCAAAGCTTTTCTATCAAAGCCAATCTATCATTCCGCCGAATAATAATCAAAATGTTGGCGCCAATCCAGCTCACTTCCCAATTTCAGATCAGCACGGACATCATTCCCTCACTGGCGATTCCCAATATGCTGGTGACAATTTGGGAGCTTCTCGTGGCACTATGAATCTAGCCTCCGATGACGACACAGTTACCTCGGAATTGAATCTCATTTGTCGCAAGATTCGGGGCTTACTGGATTTAAGGTCGAAGTATATCCGACTCTCACTGCAGACACCCGGGGACAATCCAAATAATAAACCAGATTGGACGGTATACCCACCTCCACCAGAACCGGCCTGGGGCGAAGACAAAGAAACTGCGAAGATAAATGATGGGCATGACACGAAACATTGGAAGAGAAAGATGGGCGAAAGTATCGGTGAAGACTTTTGCCTTTCTGAGTGCCTACCGCTTCCAGGAGAGTCTAACTGGATATTCAGGCCAGATGAGAATAGTGTTTACCAGGTTTACGAAAATTATGGAACATCAGACTTGGGAAAGCCTGTGGTCAATATTCCATCTCTGCGGGACTTCTATATGGATCTGGATTCCGTGATCGATGTTTCAACAGATGGGCCTGCAAAAAGCTTTTCCTTCAAGCGACTTTCTTATTTAGAAGGGAAATTCCAGCTCCATTCGCTATTAAATGAGTACCAGGAAATTGCAGATAGCAAAAAAGTGCCTCATAGGGATTTCTATAACGTTCGAAAAGTCGACACCCACGTTCATCACTCAGCATGCATGAATCAGAAGCACCTTCTCCGCTTCATCAAAAGCAAAATGAAAAAATCTCCGGATGAAGTCGTTCTGTTCAGGGACGGCAAGCATTTGACGCTTAAAGAAGTCTTCGAGAGCATCAACCTTACCGCCTATGACTTGAGTATTGATACTCTTGATATGCATGTAAGTTGATCTTTGTATGCTTGATTTCTTACGTATTCATAATTGTTACTGATACTCCACAGGCACATACGGATTCCTTTCATCGGTTTGACAAATTTAATCTTAAATACAACCCAGTTGGGGAGTCTCGGTTGCGAGAAATTTTTTTGAAGACTGACAATTACATAAAAGGACGATATCTAGCAGAAATAACGAAAGAAGTCATCTCCGATTTGGAATCAAGCAAATATCAAATGGTGGAATGGCGCATTTCTATCTACGGAAGATCGATTCAGGAATGGGACAAACTTGCAGCCTGGGTAGTGGACAACAAACTATTTTCGCCCAACGTTCGTTGGCTTATCCAAGTACCTCGACTATATGATGTCTACAAATCTAGTGGGATGATGGAAAATTTCCAGCAAGTAATCACGAACGTCTTCCAGCCACTATTCGAAGTGACAAAGGATCCGAGCAGCCACCCTAAATTGCACATCTTTCTCCAGCGTGTTATCGGCTTTGATAGTGTCGATGATGAGAGCAAAGCCGAGCGCCGTCTGTATAGGAAGTATCCAATTCCGAGGGCGTGGAATACCAAACAAAACCCTCCCTACACCTATTGGATTTACTTTATGTTCGCTAACATGGCGTCTCTCAATTTTTGGCGACAGCAGCGTGGCTTCAATACATTTGTCCTCAGACCACACTGTGGCGAAGCCGGGGACCCTGACCATCTTGCAGTTGGTTTCCTCTGCTGCCATAGTATCAGCCATGGGATTTTACTCCGCAAGGTCCCACTGCTACAATATTTGTTTTACCTTGACCAAATTGGTATCGCGATGTCACCCCTCAGCAACAATGCTCTGTTCCTCACATACGACAAGAACCCATGCGCTCACTTCTTCAAGAGAGGTTTAAATGTGTCGTTGTCCACAGATGATCCACTGCAGTTTGCGTTCACAAAAGAACCTTTGATCGAGGAATATTCTGTTGCCGCGCAGATCTATAAGTTCAGTGCGGTGGATATGTGTGAGTTGGCTAAGCATTCTGTAGAGCAGTCTGGCTTCGAACTATCTCTAAAGGAAAGATGGCTTGGTTCAAACTGCTCTCTAGCCGGAGTTGCTGGTAACAATGTTGCGAAAAGCAACGTCCCGGATATTCGAGAATCATTCCGACACGAGACGCTTATCGGGGAGCTGGCACTGTAAGTCATTTGCACCCCAAGTGCTTGCTTCATTTTTGCCTCAGGTGGAGAGAAGTAGAACCTACTATGCGAGATAGGGCAGTACAAATCTAGCTAATGTACCACCCACTCATCAGGATTGAGCGGTATTCAGCGCCGAATACTGATGACGGAATGGCACCAATAGGTGGCTATGGATCGCCTGCCGCATCTACGCAAAAACCGTATCCAGCGGATCAAGTTAAGTGTCAGTATGCAGCTGCCTCGCGGACAGACAAGGTTTCTCACTTGCACTATAGTTACGCCCGGGGAACCAAGCCCTCCAGTGGGCTCCTTAGCCCGTTCGGACACCGACGCACCTAAATACCCATCCATTTCATCCCATCCTGCCGATGGAAATGATTATGGTGCATTGAATTCCTTGGACCCACCAGCACAATCTGTTTCGACAACAAGCAATTCCAGTGGGCTGGCCTTCGACAACAAATCCAATCTAAAAACCACGGCCGAGGGGCCACCAGAACAGAAGATATTCCCAGGTATTGTGCATGGAAGGGCTCAACGCAGTAATGTATCGGGGCGGACAATCATTGATAATAGTCCAAATGGGGGAGGATTGAAGTAGTCGCCCAACATTCAAGAATATAAGCTATACCTGATGCTTACCTTAATGGTCAAGGTTAATTGTCAGCATTTGACGTTGACAGCCGGTGCAGGCCATTTCGAGGCTACTTGATTATATTAGAGATCAACGCTGCTGGTCTAAGACCGCTTTCTGATGACAATTGCTTGTCGAGCACCGAGAAGGCACTCGGCGACCAGTTTAACTTCAAGCCCGTTGTTCAGCCTGTTAGATCAAACTGCCCAGCTCCCCTTGCGTTCACGTACACCCCATGTCTCGTGGCCATGACCTTCATCAGACATTTGAGGGTGTTGGCGCACCCATTCATGAATATACAACCGCAGCGCGGTCCATCTCATACATGCCCCGTTCGTTTTACTCCTGCAGGTAACTGCGTGCACGCCAACATGGCCTTTGGCGTCCGTCTTTAGATCGTCTGCCCTAAGTGTCGCCACTGATAAACCAGAAACCTTACTTAGTTCATAGTCATAATAGCGAGCAACACTGGGGTAACCGAGCGACAGGTAGTCATATATTTGCGTGACAAATCTGTCATCGAATTCCTGGTTGTAGCTTTCATCATGTTTGGCATCGTCCCTGCGTCGAATGGCGACGATATGGGAATTTTGGTGGTATTGGTGCGGGGGTCCGGCCCCGTATGATTCATCCAAGACCCTCTGTGTATCCTCCACGAAATCATGTTTCGGGGTAATCAATCCCGGTAGTAAATATTTGGAGAACTGTGGGTCATGATTGTTGGGTTTGCAGGTCCCGTTCCAGAGGCCACCACGATCAAGTCCGACAGAAAACTGCGGAGTGGAGCACCAGAGGCCAGCGGACGATGGAAATGTAGTCTGGTCTTGGTTGCTCCCGGTTATATGAGTTCCTTCACATATTGTGCTTTCCGGTGTCAAACTTTGAGGGAATTCAAGATTGTTTCCGAGCATTGGTGGGCTGGCGGTCTGTCTCAATTGTGTCAAGGAGCGGCCCATATCCCAACCATCGTCACGATTTACCACCACCGAGGTTTTCACATGCGAATTGTGCTCTCCTCTCGTGGTAAGATAATGGCGCCTATCCATACCAGCTTCCTCCTTGTGTCTGCGCAGATACTCGAGTTCTGAGGAAAGATCTGCAGATGAGGCACGCCTGTTTACCCTAAGCGTGGGCTTTCTTTCATGCATATCAAAGTTTTCCTCACATGACGGCTCTTCATCCTTGTCGATAGCAAAATGATCAACCGGTTGGTAGACCTGTTCGTTCGGGAATGCCGCTAGTGCCTGCTCTTTTAATTGACTTTCTGAGGCATTGGTTGGGGGGGTGGGAATATATTCTAGAGATGAGGGTTCTTGACCTATATTTGGTTCACAGAGTGGATGCTGGGACGGGGAACAAGGTAGCCGTGGGGGGGTTGATTCAAAGGACCCTTCACTGCCACTGGAGGGTATGGCCGGTAGGTCGGGTACACGGAAAGAATGTCTCCTTGTTTCCTGACGTTGCATAAGACTGGAGTATGAAAATCGGGACTCTTGTAGTACATCGGCATTCACTTGCATTCGATTGGGGCTCGGAGCTGTATTGTGCAATCTTCGTGTTTCAGCCTCAGGCCTGGAGATGCTGTCTGGATTAAAGAGCTTCTCCCTCGGACTAAATGAGTGTCTAGCGGTCTCCATTAGCTGCGGGGTGAACCTCCTTGTGCGCTGTTCTTTACTGCATGACTTTGCAGCTGATGGCGTGGTATGTACTGTCTCTGGTAATGTTGACCCATGTACATGTTCACTGCTTCGGGGAGGTGCTGCAGCCTGGCCAGTCTGCCACAGGTGAGATGGGTGGCTACATGCAAATGGCCCCTCTGTGGACGAGCTGGTGTTAAATTCGGATATCCGTATGGCCCCATGGCCCGGGCGCAGATGCCGTTCCGCAGGATCATTGTTTTGATGTTGCTTTGAACTGCGTGAGGATGTCTCAATAGGCTCGGGTAAGAACCTTCGCGGTTTCCTCCTCATTGTACCGATGGGTTGGGACATGCTTTTTGGCTATGTGGTTTGGTGTTTGAGAGGAAGCTGTGTGAGGAAGGAAAGAAAGAGCCCCGGGACTCTGTTCTTCCCATTTTTACACACAATGGCAATACGCGTTATATAAGGCGGAGAAGGTAGGTAGGTAACATGCACTATGACACCCAGGAATCGATTGCCCTGGAGAGGTCCCGGGGGTGAATCAACTGTGTCAGGCGGGGTAGCCACCCAATAGGGTTAGGGTTAGCGGTTAGTACTATCACCTATTAATAGTATAGTGGTATATAACTATATATATATATTATTTATATAGTCATCAGCCTCTGAAAGTATTATAAATAACATAAAAAAGTATAGTTATAATATATCTGATAATAAAGAATTATTGAAGTTAATGGAGTTATAAAAGATAATTAATTAAATAATATATCTATTATTCCAGAAATTCCAGTATTATTTTTTTAAATTTTTATTAAATTCCATTTATATAAAATTATATATAAAATAACATTTAAATATTTGTTGAAGTTATTAGAGTTAAGAAAGATATTACCTGAACCTATAGTTTAGTTAGTTCAGATAAATCTGATTAGTTATGTAGTAATTGAAGTTGTTGGGAAAGATATCTTATTAAATAGAGTGTATGGCCGGGCAGAAATAGCAGGTCTAGAATAACTAATTAACTATCAGCTAAGCTGAATTAGTACTAGTTTAAATAGTATAAAGTAAGGTAATAATAAATATACTATAATAATAAGATAATAAAAGATAGGTATTACTATAAATATAAAGATTTTTAAGAATATAATAATCTTATTAACTATATAATAAAATTTAATAATAGAATTAAATATAATAAAATAGATTTAAAGATAGCTTAATAAGCTTTTTTACTATAGTTAAATATATATAATAACTAAATAATAAAAATAGAATAGTAAAGATTTAGAGCTAAACTTAATAAATATATAAATAAAATATTAAATATTATAATTAGAATTATAGAATAATTTAAATTTAATAATAATTTTTTTAATATTAGTAAAATTCTCTTTTTAAATTTATTAATTATATTTAAGACTATAATCTAACTATTAAATATAATATTTAATAAAGAGAGTATATTTATAATTATATAAATAAATTTAGTAATTAAGTATATATTTAATTTTATAATAATTAAGGTCTTTAAAAAAAATAAATATTAAAAATAATAAAAAATTTTACTTTTTTATATTTATATAAATTAGGATTTATAAATATAGATTTAAGTTAAGTAACTAAATTAACTAGACATATATTCTATAAATTAAATAAGTTAAATAGTTTATATATAAAATATCTAATATAATAAATAACTATAAAAAGTCTAGTATAATAAGATTCTAGTTTTAAGATAATATTAATAATAATAAATAATTAATAATATACTTAAATAGAATAAATAGTAAGTAGAATATTTAAAAAATTACTTAATTTAGTATTTATAAAAATAGAAATAGAAGATATAGATATAGAAAAAAATATACTTAATATAGATTAATTAATATCTTAATAAAGCTAATCTTTAAGAATAATAATATTAGCTTCATCTTTACTAGAAATAGAGGATATATATAATAAGAATATAATAGAGAATATATATAAATATATACTAAGAGAATATATTAGATTTATATTATTAATTTTTAGAATAATTATTAATCTAAACTATTCTAGATAATTAGAATAATAATTATAATATATCCTTTTAACTAAGTAAAGAAACTTATTAATAGTCTTATTAATTAAAAAGTAATTAATTTCTTATAAAATAGAATATTATAGATTCTTTATAGAAGTAGAAAAAATATATATATAACTATAAATTTAATAAAATAGATTATATACTTTTTAAATTATAGTATATATAAACTTAGGAATATTTTATAAAATATATAAAATTAATAGTTAAGTTTAGCTAAATATAGCTTAGATTTTACAGGTATTAAAATAAAGCTATAAATAAAAATAAAAATTAAAAGAGATTAAAATATAGAATTTTAATAAATAAAAATTAAGTTTAATAAAGCTAAGATATAAATTAATAAACTAGAGATAGTATTAATAAAATCTAATAATTAAAGTAAAGTTTATAGAAATAAAAATAAAGAAAATAATAATAAATAGAATATAAAATATATTAAAATATTAAAAATATAATAGAAAATATATAGAACTTAAATATTATCTTATATAAAACTTTATATAAATAGAATTTAATAAAAATTAATAAAAAATAATATTAGAGATTTTAAAATAATAAATATATTACTAGATTATAGTATTTAAAGTTATTAGAAAAGATATCTTATTAAATAAAATAGATAGCTAGATAGAAATAGCAGGTTAAGAATAACTAATTAACTATTAGCTGAACTAAATTAGTACTAGTTTAAATAGTATAAAGTAAGGTAATGATGAGCATGCTGTAATAATAAGGCAATGAAAGGCGGGCATCACCACAAGTTATAACATAAATCACGGGTCAGCTGGTCACCACAGGTTAACCAGCCACCCTACCTAAAGTTAATATATTATTTAATATGTAATCATTTGAATAACTACTATACTATTAACATAAAATAAGTTTTATTAAAAATTAGTTAAGCAGAAAGGGAGAATTTAACTTATCTTATTTATCTTATAAACAAAGATACTAATTTTAATTAGAATAATATAATTATAATCTCTAGTTCTCTAAAATTTAGAAAGATACTCTAATATATTAGATAGTATTAAGAGATATATATAAAATTACTTCTAGATATATTTATATATAAAAAGTAGCTAATCTTATTTTTTAATATAATATAACTATTATTCTAGAGTCTATTTGTGAGGCTGTAATATTAATATAGCAGCTCTCTAGAAATTATAGAGATATAATATATAGTTAGTAGAAGATAGGTCTATATTTAATAGAATTAATTACTGGTTCTTCTAGCTAAAAACTAGTAGTATAATATATATATATATATTATATATAGTAGCTACTTAGCTACTATAATATATCTCAGGCATGCTTGTACAGTATATATAGATATTAGTATATAATACTATTAATATTAATTAGATTATTAACTTTATTAAGTAGTAAGATAAGATTAAAAGTATTTCTATATATAAATATAACTATTTCTAGGCTTAATATAAGAATCTTAAATTATTAAGATTTATTTTAAATAATTATAGTAATTATAAGCTAAGTATAGTATCTAATAAAAAATATTTTTAATTTTAATAAAATAGACTTTACTATAAATTTAATAATAGTCTCTAGAATAATTTCTAGAGTTAAAATATCTAATATATTATATTTTATTTAACGAGATAATTAGGAATAGATTATAATAATTAAATATATTGTCATGACCTGCCAAGGCTGTATTATATAACTCTATTATATAATCCCTGTAGACTATTAATAGAGTATCTATTAACTAATAATTTCTTACTAATTAATTATTAATTTTTAAGTATCCCTAATAAATTATTACTAGAGAATAGATATATTATAATCTTATAAAAATAACTATAGTCTTATATATTCTTAATTAGAAAGGATTTACTAAAAAATTATATAATTAATTATAAGATTAGATTCTTAGGATTACTATATAATTATTACTAGTAACTACTATTAAAGATTACTATTAAAAATTATTAATAAGAAAAGTTTTATATAAAATCTCTAGATATTCTAATTTTATAGATTTTTAGATAATTTATTCTATTTTTAATAGAGTTATCTAATTAGCTAAATCTAATTTTTTTATTAATATTATTTAGTAGTTACTAGATCTTAATATTATTTAATATTTTATAGTTTAAATTACTTAATTCTAGTAATTTATTAATAATAATTAATATTTAAATTTTTTATAACTAGAGCTAGAATATCTCTAGTTAGATTCTAGTTTCTAATTTTTAAATTTTAAGACTTTTTTTAGTATTCTAGAAATTTATTAAATTTTTTTTATTATAATGTAGATCCTCCCAGGAACTAGACTAGAGAGTAAAAAATAAATAATAAACATTTAAGTTAGAGTTTTTATAAATTATAAAATCCCAGTAAATTATAATTCTAGCTTTAATATAAATCTTATCTACTAATACTATTATTACTAAAATTTTATAATAGCTTATAAAAAAACTAGAATTAATAAAAACTAAAAAAGCTTAAAATAGATAAAATTATAAAGCTTAAAAAAAGATTATTTAATATAAAAATTTTATTATAAATATTAAAAATTATTTTAAAAATAAATTATTATAATATAATCTTAAGAAAAGAAATATTTTTATTATTATTAACTATTTAAAAAATAAATTTAAAATATAATAATAATAAAAAAATCTCTAAAAAATAATTTAAGATACTCTAAAAAATTTCTAAAATAATAAATTAACTTTAAAGTAGATTAAAATTAATAGATATTCTACTAACTTATAAATAAATAATAAAAAAGCTAAAAAGGATTATAATAAATTATTAAATATAAAAAAATCTAAGAAATAATTAGAGATCTTAATTTAAAAAAAATATTTTTTTAATCTTTATAATCTAAGATTTATAATTAAATAATACTTATACTTAATCTATTAAGAATAATATAAGATTTATATAAAAAGCTATTCTAACTAGAATTAATTATTAAATAAAAAAAACTAAAAAAATTTTTAATCTTAAATTAATTATTTATATAAAGAATAATATAATATATAAAAATTTAAAAATAAGATAGACTACTACTATTTTAATAAAAATTAGTAAAAAATTCTATAATTAATTAAATTTACTAAAGAAGAATTACTAATAATAAAAATAATATAATAAAAAAAATAAAAAAATAAATATTAAAAAAAAATAGATTAAAAAAGAACTTTATTTTTAATATAATAAAATAAATTATTATACTATTAATTACCCTAAAAAAAAACAGTAGAAAAATTAAAAAAAAATAGAAATCTATAATTCTAGAGTTTTTAGTATTAAATAATACTATAAAATCTAAGATATTTTTAATTCTTATAAATATTAAAATATAATAAAATAATTAGGATTAAAAATTTAAAATATTATTAAATACTAGAGCTAATAATAACTTTCTTTTATACTAATATTTTATTAAGAAAGAGATTAAATTTAAAAATATAAATATAATACTATTAATAAACTATATTAATAATAAAAAAATTTCTACTATAAAATAATTATAATAAAGATCTAAATATTTAATTTATATAGAAAAGTATAAACTTTTAATATTCTTTTTTATATTATTAATCTTATTATAATATAATATTAGATAGTACTAGAGTAAAAATAGATAATTTATATAAATATTAATATTCTTTCATTACTAGAGATCTAGTAATGAAAAAAATAAATAAAAAAAATAATTTTTAAAAAAATAGAGATTTTTTATAAAATTACAAAATATAATTCTATAATTATAGTTATATACTAGTTATAGCTAGATAATAGACTAGAATTAAACTTATTTTTCTAGTATATTAACTAGATTAAAGTTTTCTTTAAAACTAGACCTAGCTAGCTATTGATATAAAATATTATATATAAGATTTTATTAGAATAAGACTCTAAATTATTATTTAGATATTTATATAGTTTTTGCTAGATAAAATTAAAAATATTTAAAAAATATTTAAATATAATACTAGAATAGAGATAGATTAGATTATTATAAAATTTAATAAGAGTTTAAAAAACTAGATAATTTACTATATTTTTATATTAATTACTAAGAATTAAATATTATTACTTATAAAAACTAGTATTTATTTTCTTATATTAATAAATTTATATACTATTTTATCTATACTAAATATTTTATTAAGCTAGATTTATATAATATTTATTATTAAATCTAAATTAAAAAAGATAATAAGTAAAAAACTATATTTTAAACTAGATATAAATATTATAAGTATCTGATTATATTATTTAGATTAACTAATATATCTATAATATTCTAGATATATATTAATATAGTAATATATAGAATACTAGATAATTATTATATTATCTATCTAGATAATATTCTTATTTATTTTAAAAAAAAGAAAAAATATAAAAAATATAAAAAATATATTATTTTTTTTGAATATCTCTAGTATTACTCTTTATATATAAAACTTTTTAAATATAAATTTTATATATTAGAAGTTAAGTTTCTTAATTTTATTATAAGTTAAAAAATCTAAAAATTAATCTAAATTATAGCTAGATTATCTCTAGTTAACTAGAGCTAGTATTTTTTTATAATATCTAGATATTTATTAAATTTATTAATTATTTTAAATAGTTTATATATTTATTTTTTAAAATTATAAATTCTTTAATAAATCTTTTAAAGAAAATAAAGAGATAAAAAATTAGAATTATTTAATTTAATAATTAAAACTAGAAAGATTTTCTAGAAGCTAAAGATTTATTAAATTATTTTTACTATATTATTTTAATCTAGAGAAACTAATTCTATTAATTATAAATATTTTAGATTTTATAATAGCTAGTATTCTTATCTAGATTAAGCTAGTTAACAATAAAAATAAAAATAAAAAATAATAAACTTTAATAATTTTTTATTCTAGAAAGCTTAATATATATAAATAATATTAGAAAATATATAATCAGGAACTTCTAATAATTATAAAATATTTTAAAAATATATATACTATATAAATATAGATAAATTATAATAATTTATAATATTTTTTAAATAAAGATTTTAAATTAAAAATAGATTTACTAGATTAAGCTACTAGTAACTTATAATTTTAAGATTAAGTATAAGTTAAAATAAATAAATTCTATAGATATATTATTAAAATATTAAGATTGAAAATTTATTAATAAAAAATATATTATTAAATTTTTATTAATTCTTTAAAAAAAGCTTAGAAATTGAAGAAATAATAAAATTAATAAAAGTTTATTTTTAGTAAATTCTAGAAATCTACTAGAGTAGGATTCTATTATAATTTTTAAAAATCTAGAACTCTTAAGTTTAAAAAATAAAATTATAGAAATAATCTAAAATAAGATTAGTTATAGTTTAATAATATTAAATTTTTACTAGAAATTTATTAAGATTTAAATAAAAAACATCTATACTAGTTAAATTTAATATAAAGTAATAATAGCTAGTAATATTTAGCTAGAATTAAATAATTTCTATTTATATAAATAATATAAAAAAGATAGATTTTTTCTATATAATAAAATTATTTATCTCTTTTTTATTATATTATAATATAAGATCATATAAATATATTATAATAATATATAAACAGGCTATTATAACTTTAAAAAAATTCTTAAACTATTATAGAGAAAATTTTATTAAAAAAAATAAAACTAATAATTAATAAATATATTAGAATCTATATAATTTACTAGTAGATAAAGATTTTAAAATATTAATTATATAAAAATTTAATTTTACTACTAATTTCTAATAAATTATAAAAAAATATAATAATATATTTTATTACTAGTATATCTTTATTAGATAAAGATTTAAATATCTATAATATTATTTTAGTAATAGTAGACTACTATAGTAAAATAATTAAATATATTCTAATTATTTAAAATATTAATATTAAGAGTCTAGGTAATCTTTTTTTTATAAAAATTATTTATAAAACTAGATTTCTAAAAATATTATAATTAATAAAAAAATATTTTTACTAGTAAATACTAGTAAGGCTTTTACTAAAAATTATAAATTAAACAAAATTTAATATAATATTTTATCTATAAATTAATAAATAAATAAAATGATAGAATTAAATACTAGAAACCTATTTTAAAATATATTATAATTTTTACTAGAATAACTAGATATTCTAGCTTTTAATAATAAAATTTATATACAATAATTTCTAGAATAAATTAATAAATATCTTATCTTTTATAGTCTAGTAAGATATAAAATTAATAACTCTAGAGCTTTAAAGCCTTTACTAGAAAAATAATAAATATAATTATTAAAATTTAAATTAAGTAAATAATAATAGTATAAAATTAGTTATAAAAAATCTTAAGACTTTTTAAATTAAATAAATATTTTAGTATAATAAAAAATATTAATTAATAGTTTTTTTAATAGATTAAAAAATATAGTTATTTATTAAGAATATTTAGATCTAGAGACTAAGTAAAAAATTAAATAAAAAATATAATAAACTATTTAATATTATTAAATTTATTAATAAATAAATATATTATCTCTAGTTTACTAGAATGTATACTAAAACTTAGATATATCTTATATTCTATATATTATTACTTAAGAATTATTACTAATAAAAAAGAAAAATTAATATAGCTAGAAACTAAGCTTATTAAAAATATAAAAAAATAGAAAATTAAAAAAATTATTAAAAATAGATAATATTAAGAAAAAAACTAGTTCTTAATTAAATAAAAAAGATATTCTAAATACAAAAACTCTTAAAAATTTATTAAGAATTCTTATAATATTATTAAGACTATTAAAAAGTACTACTAGACTAAATATTAACTAAAGCTAAATTATTATTAATTAAGAAAAAATAATCTTTTTATTCTACAAAAATTTTTAATATTTTTATTTTAGATATTTACCTTTTTTTATTTAATTTTATATAAAAGTTTTAAGATTTAATAGAGTGTGAGGTTGTAATACTAATATAGCGGCTCTCTAGGGATTATAGAGGCATAATACATAGTTAGTAGAGGATAAGTCTATTATATTTAATAGAATTAATTACTAGTTCTCCTAGCTAAGAACCAGCAGTATAATTTATATCTATATATTATATAATAGCTGTTTAGCTATTATAATATACCTCAGGCATGCTTATATAATATTTATAGATAATAAGATATAATAATTATTTCCTTCTCTCAGGTAATTATAATCTTATAATTAGTTATTTTTAACAGGCCCTATAATTAAAATATAAAATAAAAAGAGAGAAATCTAATAATACTAATCTTAATTTTATAAATCTAAAATTAAACTTATAGTAAGTATCTAAAGTTAGTATATTATTATTTTATTAATATAGATAACTTTAGTAGTATAAATAAATTTATATATAGTTTAATAATACTATAATATTAAAATATTACTTATTTTTTATTTATTTCTTTTTTCTTTCTTTCTTCTCTAGATATTTTATTTTTTATTATTATAAGTATTTCTTTATATTTATATAGTTTATTAGTTAATTTCTCTTATTTTTATAATTATTTTAATTTTATAAATCCTATTAATCTTTTTCTAGATTAAATTAAGTCTTCTAGTACTATATTATATATTAATATAATAATATATTAATCTAATAGTAGAAACTTTATATTACTATTTTTTAATTATATTTTAAATAATTATATTAATATTTAATATTTAGATTCTCTTAATTTTTATAATTTAAATAAGTTTTTTACTAGTTATTTTACTTAAGAATTTATAGAGATATTATTACTAGAAATTTTATTTATATATAATATATTTATACTCTATTTTTTTTAATTATTTAATTCTCTATAAGATTTTATCTAATTAGTTTAAATTTTAAATATATTATTTTATATATCTTTCTATATTAATTTCTATTTTTAGTAATTATTTTACTTTATAAATTATATTAATATTATTATTAGAGTTCTTAGTATTTTATTATTATTTTATAATATTTATTTTTTTATTTCTAGTTTTTAATTAGTCTAGCTTTATAATTATTTCTATATTTAAAATCTTATTAATATAATATTTTTTAAATATTACTATATAAGAAGTTTACTATTATCTATACTACTAATATATATTATATATATAAAATATATCTTACTTATCTTACTATAAATATCTCTCTAGAGATAAGTTCTTTTCTAGTCTCTTTATTTATATTTATATTTTTACTTTTTTATTATTATTATTATTATTATATATATATATTTTATATCTTTAGCTCTTTTTTCTATACTATTTATTTTTTATTTTATATCTCTTATTCTAGCTATAATATACTATATATATCTATTCTATAGTAAGCTTTATTTATTTATAATATTAAATAGCTCTTTAGAATAATATAATACTTACTATTATAATAGATATAATATCTAGTTCTATAATAAAATAAATATTTAAGATTTTTTTTATACTAGATCTAGATTATTTTATTAATTCTTTTTTTTTAGAATTATAGAATAATTACTATTAAAATATATTTTACTATTAATAAAATATTTTTTCAGGCTAGTACTATTAAGAGTACCTATAATCTACTAGAGATTATTACTTATTATTATATATTTTATTTTTATAAAAGAGATAAAGATATAGCTTTTTTTACTACTAGCTAGAGTAAAAGCCTTTTTCTAGACTATTTATAAATATTTTTATTTATATTTACTATATCTTTATTTAATATCCTATAATTTTATATTTAGTATTCTAGTATTATATATTTTAGTTATAATATTATAGATTATTTAATTTTAAAAATCTTTAGAAAAGATTTTTTTAAGGATTTCTATTTTTAAAAAGTTCCTGGGAAGAGTTCTCTATAATATATTTATATTTTTAAAAAATCTCTAGAAAAGACTCTCTATAAAAGTAATAAATAAGTTTTTTTTATTTTTCTTAAAAAATTAATAATTTTATTTTTATAATTTAGAATTTTATATAGTTTATAAATATTATAAATCTTTCTTTTTTATACTTTTATAGTAGATATTATTATTTTTTATAAATATCTAGTATAATAATATTTTTAATATAATTAAATAGTTTCTATATATTATAGTTAGAATTCTATCTATATTATTAAATTAGAAATTAAAGTTATTCTTTATACTAGTAATCTATAATTATATTTTTAATCTTATATTTTTCTTTTTTATTAATAAATAGTAGTTCTAGTTTTAGAGCTGTATGAAAATCTCTACTATATTTATAAAATAAGAAAATATAGAATATATTATAGAGTTAGTATATTTTAAATTATAAATATAATTTATAAAATTAGTATTATATATATATAATTTTAAAAGATTCTAGATACTTATTTAATTTATAGTTTAATCTAGTTTAGTTAATATTTCTTATATCTAATATAATAAAGCTATTAACTATAAATTTTATATTCTTATTATTTTTATTATATTACTTTTTTATAGTTTTAATTATATTCTCTAGCTATTTAGATAGCTTTTTATAATTTTTTTAGAGTTATTTAATTTATTCTAGTATATTTTATATAATATTTTTCTTTAAATCTTTAATATTAACTTAAAGTTATAATTAATATTTTATTAGAGATTATATAAGATTTTTATTTATATCTTATTTAATTATCTTATTATAGATAAGTTATATAATTAATAGCTATTATAATTAGTTATCTTAGTTCTAGTTTATATAGATATATAAATAATACTTAAATATTTAATTTTAATATTTTATCTATCTATTTATTTATAAATAGTATATAGTAGTTGGTTTATAACTTAAGATAATAATAGAGTATTAACTAGAATATATTTATAAAAATACTATCTCTATTACTAATTATATTACTTAGAACTCTAATATATATATATATATATATATAATAAGGATTATTATAGGATCTTTTATAAAGATACTCTTTATATATAAAATATAAAATATATATTTAGTAAAGTAGTTAACTATTATAAAAATAGTATTATATATCTTTTTTTAATATTTTATAGAGAATAGCCTAGTTATAAAATCTATTATTATTTAATTTATAAAGTTTTTTAATTATAGAAGTTTATCTATAAAGCTATAAAATTTATATTAATATATTATAATCTACTAATATATATTATATTTTTTAATATAATCTTCAATTTCCTAATTTATTATTAGCTAGTAATATTTATATTTAATAGTTTCTATTATTTTTTCTTTATTTAGATATTTATCTTATAGATTATTATAATTAGCTTTAAAAATTTTTATATAGAATATTTTAGAATATAAAATATAAATTTTATTTTTAAAGTATATAAGTTTATCTAGAAAAATATTTTATTTTTTATTTTTTATATTTTTATTATTTTCTCTAGTATTTTTTACTATTTTATTATATTTTTAGCTAATCTTAAATAATTCTAGTAGATTTACTAGTAGTTTTTATATATATATTTTAATAGCTACTATATATAGCTAAATATAATTTTTTTATAGATTTAATATTATTTAGTTACTTCTATAGTTTTTTATAAATATAATTTATTTATATATCTATTTCTTTTTCTCTAGATTTATAGTTTATATATTTATTTAGATTATTTATAGAGTTCTTCTTATCTATAATATAATAAATTTAGAAATAAAATATTACTAACTTTTTAATCTAATATATTTAATATAAATATAGTTCCTTAATTATTATAAACTAATATAGATTATTATAATTAAAGTAAACTTTAGTAATATATAAGCTATCTTTAAGATAATAATACTATTTATAAAAATTATTTATTATTATAAATAGTTTCTAGTTATATATTTTATAATATATCTATATATTTTCTAGTTTTTTTTAAATAGAAGACTATTAGATACTAGTTTTTATTTTTAAATTTCTAGTTTAAAGTATCTAAAATTATATATTTTAATATATTTATTTAAATTTTAATAGGTAATCTTAGATTATAATACTATAATAATAATCCTAAAAAAAAAGTATTTTTAAAATTTTAAAATATTTTAAGTTTTTTATTTTCTAGTAAAAAATATAGTTCTATATTCTTCTTTATTATTTTATTTAATAGAGCTGTAATTTTACTTAATTTATAAATAAATTAGTAATAATAGTTAATAAATTTTATAAATAACTAGATTTTTTTTATATTTTATAGTACTAGCTAGTTAATAATTATTATAATTTATTTAATTTTTATTTTTATTCTATTTATAGTAATTATAAATCCTAGAAAATTAATATAATTTATATAAAAAATATATTTACTTATTTTTATATATAGTTTAAATCTTTATAGTCTTTCTAGAACTATATAAATATATATTTTATATTTTTTCTTATTTTTAGAAAATATAGTAATATTATTAAAATATATTATATAAATAATATCTAGAAGATTCTCTAATATATAATTTATATATTATTAAAAACTTATAAAAGTATTTATTAATTTAAATAATATAATTTAATATTTATAAATTCTAAAATATATTTTAAATATTATTAATAATTTATATTCTTTTCTAATCAATAATTTATAGTATATATTATATAAGTCTAGTTATATAAATATTTTTATAGTATCTAGATAATCTAATATTTTATCTAATAATAGTAATAGATATATATTCTTAATAATAATAGTATTTAATCTATAATAATTTATATAAAAATATAAACTATTATTTTTTTAAGTATAAATAATACTAGTAATCTATAAGAATTCTTTAATAATTTAATCTAGTCTTTTTTAAATATTCTTATTATATATTTATATAAAATCTATAGCTCTCTTAAAAATAGTAAATAAATTAGCTTCAATAAAAATCTTTTATCTAATTTTAATTTAATAATATAGTTTTATTTCTAGTATTATAAAAACAGGTTTATTTTTATTTTAAAATAAATATATATAAAATTATAATATTATTCTAGAATTATTAACTCTATTACTTAGATTCTATTAATTTTAATTTAAAGATAATTATTTTTAAATTAAATCTTTATCTAATATACTTTTATTTATATAATAATTTTTATAGTATTTTTATATAGATATAACTATTTCTAGATTTATAAATTTCTTTTTATAGTATTTCTATAATTTA